AGTTTTTACCATTTGCAATAATGGCTTTTTTCATGCTATAAACTGCAGAGTTTTGTTTGATAGGCATGCCAAAATAGTTTTGAAGCAAGTTAATACCAGATTCAGTTAACGTCCCTTTTCCGACAAGTTTTTTCCAATCAACTAAAATTTGTTCTTTTTTACTCGAGAATAGACTACACTCACTACGACTACTGTTGTAGTGAGCGTAGTCTATTTTCAAGTCTTTTTGTATGAGACCAACACATTCCAGTTTGTTAATAACAAAATCTTCACCATATGGCTAACTCTCTACAACTTTAAGAAATGAGCTGCTGTCATTATCTCCAACATAATTTTTAAATTGCAAACCATTTTGTTGAATTGATCGATAAAAAAATGCTATAGCTCCTTATGTCTCCATTGAGCCTGTTGAGCCCTTGTGGTTTATTGAACAGTTATGGCTGTTGTTTCATATTTGGTATTCATCTGTGTCTTTTTTTATCCCGTCACGACAGGCAAGCTTGAAACTTTTTTGAAAGCAATTCATAGTCAATAAACTTATTGTTAGTACGAGATATTTCTGTAACAACACCATTAAGAGATTCATGACTAATTTTTTGCCATGTCCCATCTACAAATACAGTACATTCAACAACTTCATACACATTGTCTTTTCATTTTCTAACTGCGTTGATTACACTTTCATTAGCAGTAGTCATGCGTGAATCTAACATTTTATAGTTAATTTCGTTTTAAGCTTTATAGATTTATGGGATCTCTTAAACTTAGTTTACAAAATGCCATCGCACATCTAGTATTAATGTTAAAACATTTTTGATCACTTTTATTTGGTAAAATAATTTCTTTAGAGGTAAAAATATTTTTACTCTATTGACAATAAGAAACAGAGAGTCAGTTTATTTGCCCATCCTTTCTTTTTTCTTGTTATATTTTGAGTACATAATCTCATTTGATTACATTTTGGGCAAACTAAATACACACATATTGTTTCTGCCAAAATAATAAATTCTATTAGCAAATTAGATATATTTAAGTCTGTTTCCTTCACATTATTATTTTTTTAATTTTAAACCACTTGTAGAACGTGAAGCTTCATTTTTAATGATTTCTAACGTAGAAATTGGATTCTTTATTGTTTCTGGTGGAACAACTACAAATTGATTTTCATGAAGTAATCTTTTTAAAAGTTTATAGCCTGACTTTCTTCAACCCATAACAAAATTTTAACTGTTGTACCAATTTACTAAATTCAAACAAATTAAATGAAGCACGAGGTTAATATTGTTGTTCTTGCAAAGTATAGCCAAAAAATGAGTTTGAAAGTTTGCAAACTATTTTTTAAAAATGGATTGATAACATTTTCAAACATTCATTTTAGCAGTGGGTAAAAAAGATCAGAGGAAAATTTTTGGATTTTGAAAATGCTGTTGCTAGGGGCGTAACTATGAAAAACATTTTCTGCACTCTATTTAAAATTAAAAATATACAAACTTATTTGTTTAAAAAAAAAAAAAAAAAGAGAATTTTGCATGTTGTTCGTTTTTAATTTATCAAAACATAGGCACCTGTGACGTTAGATTATATCAGAGGAAATAGCGTGCATTTCACTATTAAACTTGGGTGTTATAGCTTATTCATGGAAAAAAATTATGATAACCGACAAGTTACCCAAAATTTTATATAAGATGTTTTATGAACTTTATATAAGATATTTTATCAATTTGAATATAAAATGAAAACAAAAGTTCATTTTTTTCTTTTTAGGAAACAAAAAATCAATTTTTTTTTGTTTTATAGAAAGTTCTAGTGATCTTATATAATTGCAACGCTGTAGAAACTACGCCGTAGAAACTACGCCGTAGAAACTACGCCGTAGAAACTACGCCGTAGAAACTACGCCGTAGAAACTACGTCGTAGAAACTAGCATTTAATAAGTTGTTTCACCATTTCTAACCTAATCTGCAGCGTTTGTGGGCCTCGAGCGTGATTTAGGTAGTAGGTGTCACGTGGGGAGAGGACGGTGCCATTACAATTATTGCTGATTAAAAATTAAAAAATCATTTATTTTTGATATTTGAAAACTGACTGGTCTACATTTCCCGACTGACTGTCTAAATTTGCCTAAAAACTTGTCTAAAAGGGTCAAAATTGCCAACTAAATGAACGAAAAGTTCATTAATGGAAAAGGAGGGTGTCACACCTCTTCCCGTCCCCTACCTCACCTCATTCTTCGCGCTGGCCTTGTTTACTTAGCTATAACTTCTATAGTTGCTTTACATGATCTTATGATTATACATACATAATTCATACATACATACCTATGCAATAACCTTTTAGGCTATCATGTTAGCTAAAAAATATGAAAAAACAAATCTGATGCCCGTATTTAAATTTTATTGATTTTCAAACTTCAAAAAAATGGATTCTGAAAAAAAAAGTTTTTTGTCCACCAATGCACAATGGGGCCTAACATAGGAAAAATGGCAAAAAATCAAAAAAACTGCCAATCGATTTGAAATTTAAAGCAGTTATAAAAAAGAGCATTCTAAATTGAATAAAAAATAATTAAATGATTTTTTAAAGAATTGCGACCATTACTATTTGATAATAGAGTCTGATAAGCAATTCTTAACCAACAAGTTGACGTTTAGTGTTTTTATCACTTTTTACAAAATCATTTACTTCAAAATATATATAGCTTATATCAAAAACTTCCGGAAAATTAAAGTAAAATTTAATGCCTTTTTATATAAGGGATTGCAGGGACAGAGGGGAGTGTTTGGAGTGAAAGGCTGAGCGTCCCCCCTCTTCCCCCCCCCCCAACCCTCATAACTATTCCCAAATTTTCAAAATAAAGAATAAAATAAAATGTAAAAATATGAATAAAATATTTTCTACAAAAGATTGAAACCTGTGTTTTTATTCATATTTATAGATCTTACATTTATATATATTAAATAAAAGAGATTTTTGTTTCAACTGTATTTTATTTTTAAAGATAGATAAATAAAAAATATATATATAATTTTTCCACAGCTTGTTTGCAATCTTAAAGGAATCATAGATGTCACAAAAAATGAACTATCACTAAAAGTTTCACTTAGAGCTTGATTGAATCTCGCATGTTGCGTGCTAACGTCAAAACCATAAGAAACTATAAATATGCATTGAACAACAATAGTTTCTGCAATATCTTTCTCAATAAGTTCATGCTGTAATTTACTAATTCTTTCTAGAGTATTTCTTGATAGATGCTTCCATTCTACTTCACTACAATTTTCTGTTTGCAATACTTCACTTGGACAACATTGAGATTTTTCAGCTGACACCAACTTATAAGGAGGGAAAGTATCATCACCTTGAGTTTTAGCTGCAAATCTTATTTGATTATACTGACCTTTGGACAAATTCGTATCAAAAAGAAACGATAATGCTTGTTCCGATGGCATTCTTACAACTTCAGAGTTAATTTCTTTCAATAGATCTGCCAAATTTAAATTTTGAATAAGTCATTTGATTAAATGAGATAATTCTTTTTTATTATGTTGTGCAACGACGGTTGCAGCAACTCTTAGGTACATTTCAGTTTTAGGCTCCTTATTAGATACAAGATTAGCAATAACTCGGCGTTTGGATCTGCCAGACATCTCCAAGAATGGCATAGTTGGTCTTCCTCTTTTCGTTTTTTCAGAACTGGGTGGCTGATGGTCCTATTTAAGTTCTATTGGAAGCTCGTATTTAGTTTGAAGCCAACTTCCACGATACTTCATGAATCTTGCAGAAAAAAGAACCTTGCTTTCTCCAAAGTTCGTTGTATTGCTTTGTTTAATTATTAAATATTTTTTCTGTGCTATAACATGTTTTTCTATTTCCTTTAGGTCTCTTTAAAGTTTTTCTTCACAATGCAACAAGCATTTTTAAATAGCTAAATAATGTTTATCATTTTGTTTTATAATTAAAACAATTTCATTATACTTAATAATCATTTTAAAATGCTTTTAAACAATTCACGGATTTATTTATCTTTGAAATTTTTTTTTTGAATTACTAAGCAATATTGGTTATTGATAGAAATGCCATCTGTCTTCTTTTTTAGAAACTTTAAAAACTTTTTTAGATTTAAAAACTTTAAAAACTTTTTTAGAAACTTTAAAAAAAAAAAAAGAGTTTCTTAAACGAAAAAATTAATATATCAAACAGTACAAGACAAACAAAGTATATATCAAATTTGATTGAATTAAGTTTCAACTATTTATTGCAAATTAGATTTCCACCGGCCATAAACAGCGAAATAATATCTCTAACTTTTAAGTTATAAACAAACTAAAAACACTATAAATATATATATTTTTATAGGAAATAAATGAAATGAAACTAATTTTATTGCATATATTGATAGACATTTTCATTATCTTTACACCGATATATAAATGAATATGCTTAAAACAGCAGTTACAAAGTAATTAGAACAAACTCAAAATAGGAATTTTAACACAAATTTGTGTCAGCATTAGTTTGAGTCTAACGTTTAATCAACACCCAACTTTTTTTTTTAAATCCAAACTAATCGGTTTTAGATGTAATTAAAAATAAGATATAAAATTGCATTTAAAGTTTAAGAGAAATTAAAATTTGTTTTTTATGATTTTTGGCCATTTTTTTCTTTTGTTAGGCCCGATTGATCAATGGAAATATCAAGAACAAGTTCCAAAAAGAAATTTAGATAAGAATATTTTTTAGCTATTTGTTTTTATTTAAAACACGATTTTTATTTCAAAAATTCTAAATGATTTCTATGTTTCAAAATGTTGAATTTAAACAATAAATTAAAACTAGTTTTTAACTTATTTTGCTTTTATTAATACCTAACGTTTGTGTTCAATCATTGTTGATATTATTCAAGATTTTATTTATTTGTGTTAACTATTATTTATACTGTTAGACATTTTAATTCAAACATCAACCTTATTTTTTGTATCAAAACACTAAAAACAAACTGTTTTGTGAAAAAAAAACTTTTTAAATAAAACTACATATAACAATGGCGTCTCATAAAGTCTTTTTTAACAATTAAGTTGTCTGTATTTATTTATTAGGTTGTCCGCTACGACGAATAATCCAACCACATACAGCATCACCTCCAGCATATATTTCTCGCCAATCGCTGCCAGCATAATGTTTTAAATAACAAATTCCCTTTGAGTGGGTGAAATGAGTACAGTGAGAATTTGCAATGCAGGTACTGCCACAGTTTTCACCTGCTGTAGCTACGACGCTAAAATCTTTTCTGTTAAAATCGCAGTTAAAATCCCATCGGGTTAGACCATTGTCACCAAATCTCCAGTCTCTAGCATTTGCTAACGGCAAAACCATTAAAAACATAAAAATCAATGTCAGAAACATTTTCATCCTATGAGAAAATTGCTAAATCAAAATTAATCATCTGTTACAAAATAGTAAATATAAAATAGATTACTTATTATAATGAAATGAAGAATTTAGTTTTTTTGTAACAAAATTTGTGCAAATTAATATTTTTCAATGAGAAAAAAATCAATTAAAAAAAAGTTCAGATGTATTAAACATATTAAAAAGAATTAAATTTCTAACTTAATTCTTCTTTTAAAAGAATGAAAAAAAAATGTATAAATATGTTACTATACAAAAATAGAATTGTTAAAGATACCTGAATGTAAAAAAATCAAATTAACGTAACTTTTATTGGAGTATAAGGCTTTAACTGACACCTTATTTGACCCTAAGTGTTAATCTGGAGCAATCGATCTTTTAATTTAGACGTTTCTTTGCGGTAGTTTCTAGACTTCTTTTGCTTTTAAAAAATGGTAATTTTTTTTTATTTGCAAAGCTGCTCATTTGCGTAGGGCCTTATTATTGTTTAATTAAAAAAAAAAAGGTCTGCATTGCTATTTTAAGTTTAAACGTTTCTCTATTAATTAAGACTCCTTTTTTGTGTTCTAAAGAGTTATAGAATTTTGTGCGGTGCTGCTTTCTACTTTTGCGACGGATTTTATAATCATTTTTTCAAACATCCAAAAAGTTTATAAAAGAGTATGCAAGGTTTGAGTATGCAAGGTCTTACATCTATTAGCCGTAAAAATGTGTGGAACTTGTATTTTTACGAGAGGTTAAGGAAAGACTTAGTTTTAGAAATTAACGATTATTAAAAAAAGTTGGAAAATAAAAATAAACGTTAGTTTTACTTCAATTAAAAAATAATTAACTAGGTAATTTTTATATTAGTTTAACTAAAGTATAATTTATTACAGCGGTTGCACTACATATTACAGCGGTTGCACTGCATATTAAAAAGAACGTTAAATTTATTACAGCGGTAGCACTGCATATTAAAGAAAACGTTAATTTTATTACAGCGGTTGCACTGCATATTAAAGGGAACGTTAAATTTATTACAGCGGTTGCACTTCATATTGAAGAGAACGTTAAATTTACAGCGGTTGCACTTCATATTGAAGAGAACGTTAAATTTATTACAGCGGTTGCACTGAATATTAAAGAGAACGTTAGATTTTGTCGTAGCGCTCAAGCCCTTTCAATATAAAAAAAATTATCCACATTTTTCAGCAAAAATTCTTTCTACGCTGTTGTCATACCTTTCTAGATATAGTTATATTTAAAGAAGCTCAAAAAGATTCACTTGTGAAATTTTAAAAATTCCGCTGCAAATTTTTTTAAGTAGTCTTAGTCTGCCACAAACTTTTTTATAAACATCGTTAAAGTAAGTACTCATGTTTAGTGTCGGGTCTAGGTCGATACTAAGGTATTTATAGCAAGGTATATAAGGTGAACAAAATTGAGTTAATGTTGTAAGAAACGTTTATTGTGTTTGGTTGTCTTGAGAGAGATTTTCCTTTACCAAACAGCATGGACTCCAAGGTTGAGTATTAGCTCGTTTTTTAAACATCATTTCGAGATTTCTTCCATAACGGGTAAAAGACGCGATTCTGTAATAAATATATCTTTTCCGAGAACGTATATGACTATGACGTCAGCATAAATAACAAATTTTGAATGTTTCAGTTGTTTCAGTTGAATGTTTCAAACGTTGAATTGAAGTCAGTTTTCAAGTTGCTTTTGATTGAAATGCAAAAGTTTACTATTTTATTTACATGGAAATAAAATGGAGCGTAAAGGAGCTTGTTTATATTCTAAAAAAATATCTACATTAGATTCTGGGACAAATAAACTTTTGTAAGTTTTAAATAATACAGTTGATAGAGTAAGTATTAAAAAAAATTGTTTGTAAAAGACTTTATGAACTGCATCAACCCTTAAATTTTTTATATTGATCTAGATTCACACACTTTTATTGAGCAAATGGTTCTTTATCTTAAATTTCATTTGCTGATTGGTTTTGTTTCTCTACTTGGAAATTTTTGTTCGAAATTTTAACAAAAAAAATAATAATTGGCTCAGTGTATTATTTAATACTTAGTTTGAAGTGTTTTCAATTTTCAATCAAGGTTGAAAGAACACTTCAAACTAGATATTAGATAGTTGGGACATTTATAGAACAAAAATTTTGCAGTTATTTACTAGTATGATTTTGATTGTTGAGTGTTTTTAAAGATTTTCGTCATATAAAAAATTGTTGTTTTTCTTCTAGCAAGCTGCAATTTGATTTCAAAGAAAAACAACTATTTTTAAAAACTCATTTTTTTTTTATTTCAGTATAAGATGCTCTTGTACTGAAATAAAAATTCATTAGATGGTTCTGTTAGATGGTTCATTAAATGGTTCATTAGATGGTTCTGTTAGATGGTTCATTAAATGGTTCATTAGATGGTTCTGTTAGATGGTTCATTAGATGGTTCTGTTAGATGGTTTATTAGATGGTTCTGGTAGATGGTTCATTAGATGGTTCTGTTAAACAAATCAAAATAAAAATTTAAAAAAAAAAAGATATATATATGACATTCATACTATGATGACAGGCTATTATAAGTTTATATGCACTTATTTTTTATTTTATATATATGGATAGCTCAGTTGGTTAGATCTCAAACGAAAAAGTTAAAACCTGGGTTGTTGTAAGATACAGGTTCAAATAAAGCCACCGCCAACTCAGCGCTTAAGTAGTACTTCTGTAGGCAAAAATGTTGGTCAATAACGGACGCTCCTTGGGATTAGCCTTAATGAGTATTTGTGGCTGTTCCTATTATAAGCCAACAATATCTTCGGATATAGCATTGTATAGAAAAATATAGCATGAAAATTCAAATAAATAATATATATATATATATATATATATATATATATATATATATATATATATATATATATATATATATATATATATATATATATATATATATACACACACATATTAATTTGTATTATTTTCACTCATACTGTTAAAGATGTCACTTAAGCATAAAGTAAGTATAACAAATAAAACTTAATTGGGTAAAAAAAAAATTCATTTAGTTTTAGCCTGTGGCTAAAACTAAATGAATAGATTAGATATTTATTGACTCACATAACTGCTCTTTTATTGTTGCCATCTAGTTTGTTTCAGAGAGCACATGCATCATTCTCCAAGCTTGTCTATTTTTGGTTGTTTAGTACTGATGGATTTATAATGTACGGTACTGATGTTTTGCACTGATAGATTTATAATGCACTTATGCACAATTTGAGCATATTAGTGAATTGATTTTTAATTTTAAAGTTATTGTATTGTAATAGTAAATATGCACATAAAGTTAAATCAAAAGCGGTAGGTATGTATTATTTTCTCATCAAATTTATGAAAAAAAAATCTGATTTATAGATATTTTAAATTCTATTTTTATAGTACTTTCATAAATTAAAACTTTATTCCATAGTAACACAAGTTTGATAAACTTAATTCATATAAACTATTTTTACTATAAATATTTATATTAGTATGAATATAACGGGAAAAACTGAAAAAAACTGTAGGCACAGCGAAAACTCAGGTGAGTTTTCGCTGTGCCTACAGTTTTTGTAAACTTAATATTCAGTATACTGAAAACTGAGTTTACAGTATACTGAATATTAAGTTTCAGGAGCGAATTATTTTAAGATATTATTTAACTTAGTCTTTGTCTAAAAACAAAGTAAAAATAAATAGTTTTGCATCTAAGTATATTGATTGAAGCCGGTTCACCTGAGTTTTCGCTGTGCCTACAGTTTTTTTCAGTTTTTCCCGTTTTATTTATTATAGCATATTAAGAAAGAATTTGAAAAAAAATGATTAAAAAAAAATGATAACCTGCACCCATGGTACAACATCAAGTTATATCTTAGGATTCAGATTATTGTACCTCTGTATTAAGTGGACTTTTAGCAAATAAATTTAATTTAACTTAAAGTAAAGTACAGCTTTTTTAGGAATAGAGTTGCAGAGAGCTGCACAAGATGCTGCTACAGTTTTTGCATTATTTTTATTCCTTACAAATAGTTAATCATATATACATATATATACATTTTTAAGTTTAAAACAAATGCGATGTAACGAGAAGCTTGTTCGCGTCTTAACCGGTTAAGACGCGAACAAGCTTCTTGTTACATTGCATTTGTTTTAAACTTAAAAATCAGCTATATGTATATATAATTAATTTTTTGAACCGAAAGAATTTAGTTTTTGTTTAAATAAAGGTTAACCTTAATTAAACAAAGGGTCGGCTTTTTATTTATTTTTTAATTTTTGCTTTGTTCGGTACTGTCAAATTAACAAAGAACTTATTTTTCGTTTAAATTTTATTTCGCTCTTTAATTAACTTGTACCATGAACGACTATCAAATCACTCACTAAATAATTGCATATTAATGCACTCTAACACACGCACTTCTAGCAGTTAGAATAAGAACTAAAAAATATATAGTTTGGTCTGGTTACATACAGAAGATATTGCAGAAAATTATGAGCGCAAACCAAATAAGTTTAAATAAAAGCTTTTTAACTTTTCTTTTAATATATAAATGCCATTTGAAACATTAATGAATGAGTTAATAAATAAAGGAAAATTTCAATTAGATAAGTCAAATAAGTTGTAAACAAATGACAATGAAGAATAATTCTTATAAAATATATTTTCAATTGCTTAACTTAAAGACAAATTAGCTTTATTGATGACGTTTTGAATAATATGCTAAAAAGTGATAACGTTAAAAACTATTAAATAAAATAATCATAAAACAAAGCTGAAAATACAAGTTAAAATAATCATAAAGAAGGCTGAAAACACAAGCTAAAATAATTAAATAACAAAGCTGGAAACACAAGCTAAAATAATTAAATAACAAAGCTGGAAACACAAGCTAAAATAATTAAATAATAAAGCTGGAAACACAAGCTAAAATAATTAAATAACAAAGCTGGAAATTCTAAGCTTCTAATTCAAATTCGAAACCTGTGTTTCATTATGCATGTAAATTGAACCTATCATTTCAAAAAGAGCACATTTCCATTTATAAAAACCTTTCAAAATCAAAGAAAAACATGATTTTTATTAAAATAATATCTACGTTGGTAAAGAAACTAAACATAGAAGTAGGTAAATAAAGAACGTATATAACTTATGTAACTTTTATTTTTTATAAAAAAAATATAAATCATGCAGAAATTTTTAATTTAAATTAATAAACTAACTGTAAAAAGTTTTGGACTTGATTCCTTTTCGAAATGACTAGTTCAATTGTATAGTAAAGAAGTTAAATCCCTAATTTTATATTACTTTAATAAAAAGTATAAATCAAATATTAATTTATATTTTTGATTTGTGATTTATCTTCTATTGTCATCGTAATTTAAAGCAGAGTCAATAATGCTTTAGGCAACCATATAAAATTTTTCTATAGTGCTTTTATTATTTGTGAGGCATAAGTTATTTGGAGCAAAATGATTTAGAAGTTGACTTTTGTGGTTTCCACCTCTAATTTTGCAATTGCTGCTATAATTTATTTTATAAAACAAAATTTATTTACAGCGTCATGAAACATTTTTTGATGCTAATGTATAAAAGAGTCACTGTTTATCTTACCCACGTGTTTTTTTTAGCGTAGAACACTGTAGAACCCATAATCTAGCTCAATTCTTTTGTTTGAAATTCTTTGTTTTTTTAGTACTAAAGCCTGTTAAAAATTCCAATTTTTTTTTAGGGATTCCTAAATTATAGCTTTACTGCTTCTTTTGGTAATAAAAAAATAATTTTAAAGTGTTTAAAATATACATCAATAGGTCTATAAAAAAGTTGCATATAAAATATTCTTATTTATTTTTTTTTTTCAAATATTCTACTTAAATAAAGTTTTAATTATTTAATTTTTTTAATGAAATTTTTGATGATTACAGGTAAAACTTTTTTTTTTTTTTTTTTGCACTTATTTGCACCTTTTGTGTCTATTAGTGGAAGTGAGTCAATTAAATCAGTAGAAACCAGGTAACGAAAACAGGTTATGAACACTTGAACTAATTAATTTTTTTTTTTTTTGTAAGATTTGTTTTGAGCAAACTTAAACGAATGAAACTAATCGAGTTTTCAAATAACTTTTTTGTGTGACTTTTTACGTTACATACAAATTACTTTAATTTATTTTAATGAATCGATTAGAATACGTTTTAATATAATTTATTCATGCAAGCTTTTGATTATTATTTTTTTTATATTATCACCGGTTTTTTAAAAAAACTTTACTCGAAATTACTCAAAAATACATTAAAAACGTCTGACAATTGTAAATAAATGTTTAAAAAACTATGAAATAACTTTTTCTAAGTCTAATAAGTGCCCTTAAAATAATTATTTAACTTAAAAATCCAAAACAAAAAAAAAATTAAAATTGTGACCAGTTAGAAATGTTGTTATAGTTAAGAAAATTTATTGATAAAACAAAAATCATTAAAATTATAAACTCATTTTTTACTCAGTTTTTATTACTTGAATTAACAATTCAAATAACAACAACTACTCAGTTAACCATTCCAACTGGGTCCCGGCTAAAACCCAACTGGGGAAAATGCTGGGACCCATATGGGTATCCCACATGGGTCCCATTGAATTTTCTGTCAGTGGGATCCAACTGGGTCCCATCTGGGATGAGTCTGGGTTTTTGAAAGGAAATCATATATTGAACCCAGATATTTTTTTCATTTACCGCGGGTTTTTTAAATTTTTTATAGTTTGTTTTTGGCAGATTTTTTGTATCTCGAATCTGCGAAATAATGTGACAATTTTTTTAATTAAAAGCGCGGCATTTTTTATATAAAATTAAAAAGTAAAGGTTATTTATATTATCTATATTAAATTCGCTGTCAGAGCAATAAAATGTATTAGGCAAATGAATATTTGGTGTGACATAATTTTTTCGAATCAATTGAAAAAACAAATTTGAATTTCATAACGTTTTTAAGCAACAAAAAACTTATATTATACAATGATTTAATGCAAAACTATGATAGTAAAATACTGCCACATTAGTTCTCTTATATCGCCATCATAATCGCAAAACTATGATAGTAATATACTGCCACATTAGTTCTTTTATATCGCCATCATAATCGCAAAACTATGATGTAATATACTGCCACATTAGTTCACTTATATCGCCATCATAATCGCAAAACTATGATAGTAATATACTGCCACATTAGTTCTCTTATATCGCCATCATAATCGCAAAACTATGATGTAATATACTGCCACATTAGTTCTCTTATATCGCCATCATAATCGCAAAACTATGATGTAATATACTGCCACATTAGTTCTCTTATATCGCCATCATAATCGCAAAACTATGATGTAATATACTGCCACATTAGTTCTCTTATATCGCCATCATAATCGCAAAACTATGATAGTAATATACTGCCACATTAGTTCTCTTATATCGCCCGCATAATCGCATGACAAAATTCTGCTTTAAAGTTTATCGTTACGCTTCTTTAGAACTCAATACAGTATATAAATCGATTTACGTGTTATAACAATAGCAAGATTGAAGTAGAAGCCCAGGGCAGGACAATTAGTTCACATAGTTTGTTGCTACAAAAATAACAACAAAAAATAAATAAATATATATAATAAAATACACAAAATAGTTACTGGAGAACTAAAGCCTCGATATGACACCATGAATATCGGTGTTTTAACTTCTTCAGTTGCCATCATCTAGTTTTAAAGTTTCTTCAGTTTTTCTTTTTAACAAGCATTCTCCAGGGAATCTAAAACATTGTTATTTCACGGTAAATGTTTGATGTTATTAATTAGGCATGACATAAATAGACTTTTAAATAACAATAGTATAACATGACTAATATGTTACCATTTAAAATTTAAAGTCTTGACTCAAGTTAACCTGACATCAAATCCTTAAATCAGTTGTTGAGGGTTTAATATCTTTTATATAATTTAATAAATGCAAAAATAATCAATACCAGTAACATTTAGATTGTATCTAATTAAACGATGATCATTTTTTAAACTTAAAACAATTGTAGTTTTTGCCACAATAAATTTTGTATTAAAATTATTTTCACAATGAAAAGTTACAATTATAAACAAGCGTAGAGTACTTATATTAATATATATAATAGTTATACTCATGATTAGTCAAACACAGTGTATTTTAATTATCATGGACCAAAATTTATTGTTGAATTTCATGTTGTCTTAGAGCTACATTTTGTGATTATATATTAAATTTATTTCACAGCAGATTCTAAAAAATATGCAACAACCTAATTAACTAGATTTAAAAAATCATTATACGTAGATAACTTAGAACTTATCCATTCACAGAAGCCCAGGTCAATAATAGTAAAAACCTTTTTCAAATTCTATATATTTTTAATATACAGAAATTATTTTATTTATTTTATCAAACTCTGTAAACTAATAGTTTAAGATATTAAAACTCGGGGAAAGTAAAACTTTCCTGAACTTTCTGAAACAAAAATATTCAAAATAATGTTGTCAGATTAATTGTAAACTTCCTAGATTTAGATGAACCATTTCATAAGAGATTTTTCATAACTTTTACGTGTAAAAAACTAACATTTGTTGAAGTAATGTATTTTCTGTTGTTTATTATAAATCAACACAAACCAACTCTAAAAACAAAACATAGATACTATTAAACCTCTTTAATAATTTTAATAAAGTTAAAAAGTAAAAAAAAACATAAATAAAAATTGTATTACCAAAAAAGTTAGATATCTTTTTTTAACTTTGTAAATAAACATATATATGACTATATGATATCATATAATAACACAATGAAAATGACTTGTTATAGCAAGTGAAAAATACAAAACATTGAAATTTAAGTTATAATATAACTCAAATTATAAATATTATCACTTTACAAAACATAGGTTTACTATGTTTTGTAAAGTGATAATATTACTATTAGTAAGGTTTTACTAAGTGGCACTGCCATTTATAAAAAATTATTTATTATTTTTTGTTAGTCATTTATTGTTTTATTTATTAGTTATTAAATATTTTTAAATAGTGATATCTAATTTTTTTATAGTGTTATATAATTTTTGTTTTTATTTTCTTATCAACCATTTATATCAATGTTTTATTCTACCGTGTATTATTATTACTTTTTTATTTTTAATTAATATTTTTAATTTATGTTGTTGTTTTCTTCTTGTTGATGTCGTTTTTTTGTTTTTATTGCCAAAAGAACTTAACTTAATATTTTGTTTTGCTTGAAATTTTGTTGTAGCTTTTGTTTTGTTTTGATTTTCTCAGTGTTTTTCTGTTTATATTTTATTTATTTTCTTTTTCATATTATATGCAATATATTTCGGTTATTATATTATAAGAAAAATATATTTACTAAATCTTTATAATTTTTTTTAGCAGTGCCCAGTAAGCAGACACTATTTGGCCCAATAACGAACCAGGCTCGGCTGCCGAGCTGTACCAGGCCTGGCACGCAAGCGCCGTGCCAGCGCTGGGTTGCTCATTGGTTTTTCAAAGGGCCAGTATACGCAAGCCAGTACTGGCGCAGCAACGTTTTTACTAGCGGCAAGCCAGCATTGATTCAATTTAGGGCCAACGCTGGCAATCAGCACTAAACGCCCACTATACAAAATTGTCCAATTAAACTACTTTTTTCATCAAATTTTACTTATTATATATATATATATATATATATATATATATATATATATATATATATATATATATATATATATAACTATTTTAATTATTATATATATATATATATATATATATATATATATATATATATATATATATATATATATATATATATATGCATATATATATATATATATATATGCATATATATATATATATAACTATTTTATATAATTATATAAAAATAATTATTATATCTATTATGTTTGTCAGTTATGTTTTTTTTTTTACTTTTTGTTAAAATAGACATAAGTTAAAAACAAAAAACAATTATTGAATTCATATAATATATTGTTTGTTAATAATTTACAAGTTAATAAATTTGCATTAAAAATATATAAAAAATAAATACATTAAATTTATCATTAATAATATAAATACTTGTAAAGCTTATAATAATGTCAAATATACAACTAATATAAAACATAACATAAAACAGATCATGCAAGACTTTAAAAACATTATACTTTGTCAGATTAATCAAAAATAAAGCGTTCAAATCGTGGTAATGATAATCCAGATAAAGGTTTCAATGTCAATGATTTTTTGTTGAACTAGTTTTTTGGATGGACTTTTTTTCTGCTCCTTCTTTTCTGCCTTTATTTCTGTCTAGAGCTCCAGAAAAAAAAGCCACAACTGCCTTTTAAATTTCGCTGTATGTGGTATCTTTTGTCAGCAAATTTCTTCGTATTGCTTCTATAAACATAAACGCAGTCATATATCAAGTGTTTTTATGAACAAAATTATAAGAGTATAGCTAAATATAGCTGTTGTATATATCTGTATATGTCTATATTGTCTCTCTCTCTCTTTGTTTATATATATATATATATATATATATATATATATATATATATATATATATATATATATATATATATATATATATATATATATATATATATATATATATATATATATATATATATATATATATATACACACATATATATATATATATATATATATATATATATATATATATATATATATATATATATATATATATATATATATATATATATATATATACACACACATATATATATATATATATATATATATATATATATATATATATATATATATATATATATATATATATATATATATACATATGGGCAGGATTAAAAAGTCTTTTTTTTTCAAAAGGAATGACCATTATAAACTAAATTGGAAATTCAAAAAAAAATAAAAACGTTTAGAAGGGGGGCAATAATACCTAACATGATACCTATAAGGACTTATTTAATTTCAGGTAAAGATATTGCATTTGGAATAATAACTTTTTTGTTATAGCCATGTTAAAAACTTGTGTCACGGAAGGAACCTATCGTTCCTTCCCTGACAAAAATTTTTAATGCCTATAACTAAAAATTTAGAATTCTACTAACAATGTATTTTCTCAAAATTAAATAGATATTTGTAGTTAGTTTGTTAGGTATTTTTACCCCCTTCTAACCCTTTTTAATTTTTTTTATAAATTTCCAATTTAGTTTGTAAAGGCAATTCCTTTTGAAAAACACGACTTTTTTTTGTATCTCAAATCGAGCAGGTTTTGATTAGAAAATCGAATCAAGAATCAAATCAGCAATTTAAAATGAAAATATTTTAACTCATATTCCTTATTATATATTTCAAATATCTTTATATTATATATTTCAAAAGGAAAAAAATAATAGTAAAAAATCTTTTTTGGTGTTTCATGTAGTTTTAAACAATTGGTAACAATTTTTAACAATAGGTAAAAAATTTTAACAATTGGTAACAATTTTTAACAATTTGTAACAATTTTTAACAATTGGTAACAATTTTTAACAATTGGTAACAATTTTTAACAATTGGTAACAATTTTTAACAATTGGTAACAATTTTTAACAATTAGTAAGAATACAGAAAGTATTTTTTGTAAGTGCCAATTATTCAAAAATACTACAACAAAAAGAAAATGAGTAAATATTCAATAACTTAAATCTTTTATTTTTTTGAAACTCAAATCACTTTTCCAATTCAATTCGAAATTTTGAAGATTCACATAGCCCTAATGTGAGTATGTATGTATGTATGTATGTATGTATGTATGTATGTATGTATGTATGTATGTATGTATGTATGTATGTATGTATGTATGTATGTATGTATGTATGTATGTATGAATGTATGTATGTATGTATGTATGTATGTATGTATGTATGTATGTATGTATGTATGTATGTATGTATGTATATATGTATGTACGTATATATATATATATATATATATATATATATATATATATATATATATATATATATATATATATATATATATATATATATATATATATATAAACACACACACACACACATAGAAACACACATATATAAATTTAATAAATGACAATAAAGTGAAGAAAACAATGAAAGACAATTTTAAATATTTATATTTATTTATTATTATATTTATTAACTTACTTTCAATAACTTGACGAAATTTAAGAATTCGGAAAGACTTTTTTTGAAAATCACCTTGCCCTGTCCAATTCAATTTTTTTGCTACTTCCTTTTTTGCTGCTACTCCCTTCACCTTAAAAAAAATTGTTATTACTGGTAAAATAATTTAGTTCATTTTTTTTATTAACATTAGTTATAACTCATAAAATGTTTTGCAATAGGCTACAAATTAGTAGTCAAAATACCATAATCACAGAGGTAATTATGATCACTTTTTCCAATCTCGTTTTACTTTTGTTTAATACAGAGACAGGTGTCTGCAGACAAGACTTTTTTAATTCTTGATGTTCATTAAAATCTTGTGAGTCACTATCATAATTTTCATCAGGTTACTTCTGTACTCTAAACACATAAGTCTAATGTTAAAATATAATTTATAGAAATTTTTATGGTATATTATAAACACCTTAAAGTACACATTAAAAAGTATAAGAACTAATTTAAATTAAATTAAGGTTGAATAAATATATAAAATAAAGGAAAATAAAGGTGGAGGATGATGACAATGATGATGAGATCATATAAAATATAGCATAAAAAATACATATATATAATGAATTTTATTTAAATACATGAAAAACACAAATTTAAAGAAAATTTTAGGATGCATTAACATTTAAGCAGCTCTGGTCATAGATCAGCAAATTAAATCAGTGAATTCTTGTGTGATATTATGCTGAGAAGATCAAAATGTTAAATCACCCTCAGTTCATCTATTACAATATTCTTATCACTTTTATCTGAATCGTTATCAGATAAAGCTTCAAATTCACTAATTTCATTATCAATTTGATAAGAAATATTAAGGTTTGTTATCCAGAGCAGTGGTGTTGGAAGTTTTATTATCCGAAGTGTTCAACCCATGTTTTTTGAACGGCTTTGAACGGCTGTTTTGGGCGAACCAGAACTGGCTAGCCATTGCCAGACCATAAGCGTATCATTAATGGCTCGCCAAAGGACCTTTGGCGACCTTTGAAAGGTACAAAAATGCATGGCGCAAAATGTTTTTAATGTTGATGCAAATTTTACGGAGAGAAAAATATATTTATGTTTTCATTCAAGTATATAATTTTCATTATATCACATCCTGTATATTTAATAATCTTAGTTTTAATTATAACCTATTTGACTGAAAGAAAAAAAATTCGAGAAGTTAAAGTTATTTTATTTTAACTTTTATTTATTTATTTATTTGTCCGAAATCAATCAAGGGGAAATGGTTATTGATGGAGCCTATAACTATGATTACATCGGTAAAACTGGGTTTTATTTTCCTCAGCCTATTGACGCTTTGCCCGGTGAGCGAAAGATACTATGACTCAAAATGAGGTTTTGGTTATTCAAAAAACGAAGATCAAATTTATTACTGATTTGGGGAGAAATGTAGGAGAGTGCTGCTACATTGGCTAATTTAGGGATAACATACAAGGGAATGCTGCTAAAGGGAATGCGGTTTGGGTTAAGGAAGGTATAGATCAATCGATGTAGCAGCACTCTCCTACATTTCTCCACAAATCAGTAATATATCTGGTCTTCGTTTTTTTTAAAAATCAAAACCTCATTTTGAGACAGTATCTTTCGCTTACCCGCCAGCTAAGGCCCTTAACTGGATCGCATGTGTTTTGCCAGACCTGGTTCGCCGGACCTGGCTCGCCAGCTCTGGCCCATTAATATACTACTAATTGGGTGGTTGTTTTTATGTCATCGTTAGTTGTTACGTTTTGTCAGTTTATTAGTGTTTGTAACTGTAACTTTGTATGCAAGAACGATTGTTGTATGGAAAATTATACCAATTTATTTAAATTATTTTAATTACTATATCTTGTTTATCTTTAAACATTTTACTTCCAAATCTATACTTTTTACATTTTTTTTCTTTTTCTTTGTTTTTTTATTGAAAATTCATTTTTTTTTTACCATTGATTTGAAATACAGTGCTTTTATATCTTAAAACACTTTGCTTAAATGGAATTTCAAAATAGATGGACTGCAACTGTTTAGCTAGAAAATGGTAATGGTAAGAAGCAAAAAGTGGATGGCGTGGTGCCAGTAAGATGGTATCGATATGATCTAGTCTCAATTAAGTTAGTTGCAGGTAAGTGTTTTAAAAAGTTTTATCGTTTATTTTTGGAATTTTTTAATTTTTAATGTATTGTGCATGAAGAATGTCGTTCATTACATATTCAATAAAGTATTTATTTTCTGACAAAAAATAAAACCTGTAAACAATTTTTATGTCTTTACTTGTTCTAGTGCTATTGAAAGGAACGATAGAAAAAAAGAAGCATTCAGTAGGCTTGCAATTTTTTTATATATATTTTTAAATGATCTGAATAATTTTGTTGTTTTTATTTAATTAAATGATGAAATTGTTTAACAAAAGATTGGCTCATTAATTTTTATGTTAAAGTTGTTATTTCCTTGTTAACTGTTGTCTGTCGTTAACAAAGCAAGTAAAAAATGCACATAATGACAACAAATTTATCTTTAGAGTTGTTTGCAAAACTTTTGGTTTTGATACAAAAGACCAACTGAAAATGATACTAAAAAGGTACACTTCCTTATATCTAAATATAATTGCAGCTTTCTAGTCTTCGTTTTTGTTTATGTGTATTTCATCTGTGTTGCTAATGATATTAACAGTTTTTATAATTTTATGCTGTTAAGTAAAGCATCATTATATTTTAGATTAAAATAGAGCTTTGATTAAAACATTTTATCCAGTTTAAATGAATAACAACTCTTAAGGTGTATTAGCTGAATTATCTTTTCGTTTTGATAGTCTTTAGTCAATAACAGATTTTTAAATTGTTATGAGTTTACAACACTTAGTTTCAGCGAAATTCAATTAAAAAGTCACGTCATAGAAGACAGAAAAATATCTGTTTTCAATAACTTGGCTTTCATAGCAAATCTGAGAGGTGCAGATGTTTCGCTTGGTTTAAGTACTACATAATAAAATACATCGTTGTACAGTCATTTTGATGGTCGTAAATTTCTTTTGCACACTCATTTTTATGTATTTTTAGACTGTTTACCGTTTTACTCCTGTCCCAATCTAACCTAGTGGGTTCAAAAAGAAAGGACCGCGCTGGAAACATGAGGGGATTAAAAGGATCAGCCTTTTTTGAATTATTAGTTGGTAAGTCTAATATGTTTCACTCAGCTAATCAAGTTTCATTTGTCTTTTTGTATTACATTCAAGCGAGAGACTGTTTTTTAAGTTTAAAAAGTCTTAACCAGCTCGTATGAAAGGATTTCTCGACGTGAAATAGTTAATTTTATTCAACAACGCCGAGAAACTAAGCTCGCTCAAGAAACAGAAAAGAAAAAGAAAGATGAAATAATATTCTGTTGAACAATACTGTTGTTTTATTTATAAATTCTTCTATGTTTAAACATATAAAAGATGTCAAAAATGCTTCCTCTTTTATATTGACATCTAAAAGATTTTTTATTCTCGGCATCGGAAAGAGTTTTTTGTCATACTTTGTATGAAGAGCTATTATCATTTTTATTTGATAAAAACAACTTTTCATATTTGAAAAGTAGGAATACTATAGTGTATAGGATACTATAGTATACTAATAAGTATGACAAAAAGTCGTTCCGACCCCGAGAAAAAAACTTTTTTAGAAGTGTATAATTGATAAACAAAAACGTCTTAAAGATGCATTTTTTATGTCTTTTTATGAAAGATAATGACAAAAAAGACGCCTTTTTTTTTTTTTAGATTTGCATTTTCGACTGAAAGAAGGCGTCTTAAAGACGCATTTTTTTCATGACTAGATTAAGGTAAAAAAATCAAAATCCATAAAAAACGGCAACAAAACCCCCATAAAAACTCTTGCTAGATAATAATTAATTAAGTTATAATGTAACTAAATACCACTAAAAGACAATGATTAATTTTTTTGTGATTAATTTTTAAGATTTCACCAATTTATACGCCTTTTTCTAAGACTTATTTTTTTTTAGATTTTGATTACTGAGACCTCAAAAATGTGTCATAAATTGATTTTTTAAAATTAGTTTAATTGTGAGTTTAGTTCAAAAACTAATAGATCTAGTGGATTTCATGGTAGTTTTAACATTTTTCATTGATGGGTATATTAAAGCAGAAAAAATAAAAATCATTGCCTCAACTTGCCCCAATTGAAATAAGACCTTTTAATTACTTCGTATTTTTTACATGTTTTTTTCCGTTTTTAATTAAAACTTGCGTATAAAGTAGCGAACAATAGTTCATTGCTTACATTCATCATAAAAGCAATACCTTTAGTTCCTATTAGTAAAAATACTCAAGCAGATGGTGCCAATTAGTAAACCTCAAAAATCGAAATATGCAAGAGTTGACGGCATATTGCATTTATTAAAACCGGATAATTGATAAAAAATGAATATGAAATTTTAAAAGGAAAAATGAATAGATTAGTCAAGTTTGAGATAAAATAGTTTGATAGTAGGTTAATGCCCTCACTAACACTCTGTCCTCCCAATCATATAATGTTTGCTGAGCTAAGCATTATATGATTCTGGCAGTAGATGTAGTTATTAGATTGAGGACAATCCTAGTATTAGTATGCTCTTGTTATGAGTTCAACTATGAAAATTTTGGCCACTATTGCTATGAAACTACAGCCCTTATATTCAAAAACTATTGCTGGTATGTGACTCCCCCTACTGTTCATAAACTCTTGGAACACAGTGTGTAGATATCTGAGAACTGTAAATTGGTTACTACTCTGAAAAGTTACTAGAGGTTCTGAATAAGTAAATTCGCAAAGCTAGATTAAAACATACAGATATCTAGAAAGAATGTTATGAAAAACCAGTACCAATACCTTTTCATTAGAAGTGATCCTGCAATATCAAACATTTTTTCAAAAAATACAAGTTTACAAATGGAAAAACCATTACCCCTGAAGTTTTATCTTTGTTAATGCCGTAATTATGAAATAATGCTTTTTTATGAATACAAGATTTTATTTTTTTGTTTTCTCTAAAGAAAAATTAGATAAGATAAATATTTATTTTATATTTAATATATTTTAATATTATTATAATATTTAGTTGTATTTTCATTTTTTGAATCTAATTTTTCTTTTTAATCAGTAAATGTTTTGGTTTGAAGTCACTCTTTGTGCGCGTAAAAAACGCTAACACGTATACACTTGTATGAGCCTTAGACACAAAAAAAATTTATATTAAAAAACGTGTGGTATTTTGGATCAAGGAATCCGATTTTTTTTATTCAAATCAAATTTTTTTTACTTACACTCATAAGCGCGCGTTGTACACGTCATAGGTACGCGTAAAAATTATTTTTAACAGCAAATTTAAATTTTTTGGTCCAAAACGTCCGCAAATGACTCTTTTTTTCAAAAAATTGCAAAAAAATTAGCATTAAATTAGGGTTATATAATAGTATTTTAAGTATATTTCGTTAAATAGAAAATAAAGTTCAAACATATATCATTTTTTTTTAAATCTGCTAGTTAAAAGTTATATATATATTGAAATTCAATTTCTTTTAAAAACGAGAACTAAAACTAAAAATAATCAGCTTAATAGACTACATGACGACGTTATTAATTAATAATGTTATTACTTATAAAGAGAGCTTTCCAGTTGATCTCAATTTCCAGTTTACAACTATATTTTTAAATTAGAGTTGTATAGATTTCAAAATAGTCATCAAAATGTCTGTTTTTTTACAAAATACTAATATATTTACGGCATCACTTAAAAAAAAATTTATGTTGTAAACTGGAATTATAGATTTATATATTAGGAATGCATGCGGAAATTTTTAGATCATATATTTTATCATGAATAAAGTCTATCTAAGAGTTTGTTAGTTGGTTATTTTTTCAATCAAAAAGATGACTCAGAAACCATTACGGATTTTTAAAATATATTATTGTCGGTGTCATGTTATTAATTGATGCGTAAAAATTTAAATATTGAAATTATATTATACGTTGGTAGAAAAGAAAACTTTTTTAAATCTGCATAATTCAAGATAAAGTTCAAGATAAAATATTAAAAAAAAAAAATTAAGTATTTATTTCAAATAACTTTTCTAAACTTGTGACATTTACTAATAGTATAAGTAATTTTTGTAAACTTGTGACATTTACTAATAGTATAAGTAATACTATAAGTAAATGATAAAAGCGTATCATTTAGTTCATAAGTTATAGTCTTAATCTTATATGCTTTTGACCAGTGCCAGATCAAGGAGGAGGGGGGGCTATAACCCCCGCAAATTTAGAGGCCCCCCAAAAAAATTTTTAAGACTTTTTTTTTTTTTAGTCTATTTTAGGCTTTGGTTCATAAGAAAGCCTCCAAAAATAAAAATAGCTCCGGGCCCCAAGAAGTTTTAATCCGCCACTGACTAATGCTTAGTCATCATCATTGTGTTATTCTTCAAAGAATTTTATTTATTTGTGGAACAAAAATATTGTAACACAGTGAGATTGTAGAAATAATAATAAAGCAGCCCTAATAGATTAAAACATTTGGTACAGAACACACAGTTTTGTTTATTTAACGTTCTTTATTTTTAAAGATGTGGCAAAAAAAAAACAAATTGGCAAACCATAAATTAAAATGACACCATACGTACCTTTGATCAATCATTTTAGTATTGAATAATTCAGCTACAATTACATTTAGATAATTTGTAGCAAAGTCTTAAAGTCTTTTCTAAACTTAATGCTACAAAAGGTTAGTGATTTCCTTACTAAATTAACAAAAAACACAATCAGCAAAATTTATTAAAAATTACAAAAGTTAGCAAAAATTATAAACAATTTTTCTTATCCAACTGCTAATCTCTAATACATATTTTTTAATTAGCAATAAACATATTTACAAACACTAATATTTTTTTTTGTAACTGTGTGTTAATCATGATAGTTTATTATTATTTATCTTTATCGTATTTTTTTTCAAATGTGCATAAAACTGTTTTTTTTTAATTTTCATTGATAAATTATTAAAGCGCAGTGAGCATAAAAAATTTTTTAAAAATGCTCACAATTTAAAAGTGTGAGCATTTTAAAAAAATTTGATCAGCCAGATTTAATTTCAAAATGTCAATTTTTCCAAAAGTAGACTATCTTTGATCGTTGATCGGCCGCTATTTCGAGCGCTGATATATTTGGTTTTTTGTTTGTTTTATTCATATAGGACTTGTATATATAGTGTACTATATACACAATAATTATATTTGACTTTTTCTTCAAGTGCAACCCAAACCTCAACCAGACCCACATGTTTAGCCCATTCCATATGTTTAATTTTCGTATGAGTTTACTTTTTATACAAACCAATTAGATTTGTGTTTACGATGTTATATTGGGAGTGTGCAAATATCAATTTTTTCAAAAGAAAATGACTTTTTATAAACTTTTTTTAAAACCATTTAGCAAAAAAAGTGCGTGGTAATTTGCATGGTACTACTTTTCTGTAATTTTAAAAACAAATTTAGGAAATACGTTTTCGTTACGTCCGTAACAAAAAATTTTTATAAAACTCATAAACATAGCAAGTGGTAGAAAAAGTATCAAAAATAACCGCCGTGCGGATATTTTTGATAAACCTTGATGTCGAAAAAAGATGTCTTTATATTTGCATAATCGATTAAAAAAGGACGTCTTAAAAACATCGTAAATAAGACTTTTAAAGACGTCTTTTCGACGTATTTTTTCCCACTAGGTATAGTTTAACAAAATGATCTGTTCTGATCGTTTATTGGCAATTTTTTATATTATCTAGTATTTTTTGTGAAAATTGATAGAAATATTGTGTTTTGACAACTATATATAGTTAATATATGTCACAACCGATTAGACCTAGGATCAGTAGTAAATTAAGAAACTTATTCAAAAGATTTTAACTAAATTCATGTTAATGCCGATGAGCGGAATTGATCTAAAGACTCCAAAATAGTGTTCTTTAGATTCACTATTACGGGTAGTAAAAAGGTTTTGAAAATTATATATAAAAAAGAAAAGTTTCTTTAAATATTATAAAAACCTTTTATAAAAATTATAACATTTAAAGATCTTATTTGGACATAATATGTTGTCAAAACCAAATAAAAGTATTCGAATTATTTTTTAAATCGCCTTAACTACACCGAGTAATCTAAAAAAATATTTCTAAGTAAAAAAAATAGAATAAAGTTAAAATTGAGTAAAACAACCTTAAGTGTTTTAGCAAAATTTCTTGTTGTACGTAAAGTTAAAATAAGTAATAATCAATTATCACAGGTATAGTGTTCGTGTGGGGGAATTTATGTTGGGGAAACAAAAAAGAGAATTTTGCAAAGAAGCATAGAACACCAAATTAATAGCATGAATGGCAATTAGCATATTGGATATTTAACTGGCTGCACTCAAAAACTTTATCTATAAATAACAATTATCATGAAAAGAAAATAAGGGAAACGCTTGAAATTAACTATGCGCAAACATCTCAGGAGGTTAAACAATTCCCAGTACTGCCTAACAGGGATAACGGGGTAAAAGTTGCTTCAAACAATTTGAGACCACTATTTAAAAAAATCGTAAAAAAAAAAAAACAATTTTTGTTGACGTTGTCTTTGTGCCTCCTTATGATTTTTAAATTTTATATTTGTATATTACGTTTTTAAATTTTATAGTTGTATTTTACGTTCGTACGATGCTGTTTTGAAGTTTTACAACTATATAATAACAAAATTAAATAACATTTTTAAGTTATTTACTTTTTTAATTACGTTACCTTATTACGTTACATTTTTATTTTAGCGCACTTATTTAAAAAGTATAAGCACTTTCTTTAAGAAATAATTTATTTTATTCTTTTTGATTGATTATTGCTAAGTACTCTCCGCTGACTAATAATAGCCAATTAAAAATGTAATTAACAGAAATTATAGCGGCAGATACGTCTTTTGAGATTTATTCTTTTTGGAATGCTTTCCTTTTTTCTTTTTGTACTTTATTAAAAATAAAATATTAAATGCCAGTAAAATTTGACTTCAATAAAATACCCAGGAGAACCCTAATCGTCAAAACAATCGCATTAAACAGCAAGCACATTAAATTACTAATTATAAGACATGAATTCAAAAAAGCCTAGAAACTACTTTAATATAAATTAAATTTATTTTTAAACGACGAAATTAATTAAAAACGAAACTATTAAGTCTATTTTTAGTCAAGTGACAAAATTAAAATTCAGTATAAATAGTTTGAAAATATTGAGAAAATTGATAACGATATCTTAAAACTAACTTCGTTGCTCCAAGTTTATAAACATCACTTCGTCCTTTGGTTTAACACAATGGAAATGTTACTTCAACTTGTCGTCCTCTCTTTGTTATCGACATCTGTTGCAGGTTGGCAGATCGATTGGAAGATCGGGGAAAACGGTCTTGTTATGTGGGATCAAAACTGTGACTTTACTTGGTTTGACATCGGTGAAAAGCCAAGTTTGGCTGAACAATGTGGAGGCGTATGCATCGCTAACAAGCATTGCACTCACTTTACTTGGACTGAAGGACGCTGTTTGATGAAAAGAAATCCTGATGGAATAAGCGTATATGAAGCTAGAGGAGCAGTTTGCGGTTATGTTACGGAACGGATAAATTGGGGAAAATAAACTACGAACTGGTTGATGATTATTTATTAGTAATATTATTATTTGTTTAAAAACAATTTGTAATGAAAACATGTATACTTTTTAATATTATTTTATAAAGGAATACTTAAAGGTTATATTATGTTATTGCTGAAACAAAAATTTGTTAGAACAATAATATAATATAACCTTTGAGTACCGTAAACCGGGGTTACTTTGAACGCTTTTGAGATATTTTTACTTGCTCTTCCTTCACTATTGACAATATTCAAAATTTAACAAAATGAATATAGGGACTGAGATTGACTTTTACTTAATTCAAATTCAAAATAAAATTTAAATAATAGGATTTTGTATAATATTAATTTAAATAGTCATTTAAAGTTACCCCACAAATGGGGTAACTTTGAATGCGTTCTTTGTTAAAGCAAAACCTATTCGAAAACGTCTAGTTTCACAGTCAATTATTATTGCTAAAGTAACAAAATATTATTTCATAACAAACACCCATTTAGTATTTTATTTTGTTTAAATGGGTCATAAAAAAGTCTCATTTGCATCAGTTTCACTTACAAACTATGCAAGTGGAACATCTTTACATTTAGCGAAAAAATTATAAAAGCAATATTTTTAATTAATTTTTTTCCCCTTTGAGCCTGGTTTTTCCTTTTCATCAACATGAAAAAAGTGTTAAAGTACATTAATTACTGCTCGGCGTACTAACGCTATTACTACCATCTGGCAAATGATTGAAGATTATATTTATATCTAATGGGTAAATCCCATATTTCTTTCAAAACTACTATAATCAGTGCTGGATCAAGGGGGGCTAAGGGGTACAATAGTCTCAGGCCCCGTAAATTTAGGGCCCAAAAAAAATTTTAGAGGACCTTTTTTTTCAGTCATTTTTAGGCTCTGGCCCATAAAAAGGCCTCCAAAAACAAAAATAGCCCCGGGCCCCAAGAAGTCTTAATCCGCTACTCATTAAGTTATTGATTACCTTTTGATTTGACAAATATAATGATTATAAGTAAATAAAAAACAAAGGAAATTTAGTTTTTGTAATTGCCTGTGCTTTTTTTTAATCAAAAGGTTTTTTCCAATATTTTTCAAGAGATCCATAAAATGCAACATTAAGAGATTGCAATAAATGGGTCGAGTTACCAGATACTGTTTTCTTTTCAACAAGATACTATTTTCTAAGTAAATTTAAGTACCTTTTTACTGTAAAGATGGCTTCGATTAAAACTTATAGGGATGTTTCTACAATTTGACAAAAAACAACCAATACCAAACCAGTCAAAAAATAGAATCAAACTGTCCTAACTTTGATTGTATTTTTTATTTTATATACAGGTGATCTCTATAATAACTGGATAGCGCAATTCCGAACAAAATTTCTAATTTTTTGACGCCAAAATCGCCATATTGGAAAGCCCCAAATTTTTTTCAAGAGCTTTTCTACTAATTGTTTTAAATTAGACATAGTATCAGGAAAAAAACTAGGGGTTTAAGAAGTGGTAGTTCAGGAAGTTCCGATGAGGAGTTTGCTGTTAAAAGAAAATTATCAAGAACTTTTTATGAGTTTATAATGAACACAGATCTCTTTAATTATTAAAAATTTTATTAAACTAATAAAATTATAAAATATATAATATTACATTAATTATTAATATAAGCAGCAATATTATATTAAATATTAATATAAACAGTAATATTATATTAAATAATTATATATATATATATATATATATATATATATATATATATATATATATATATATATATATATATATATATATATATATATATATATATATATATATATATATATATATTATTTGGTACAAATGTGTATCAGTATGCAGCTTTTCATTCTTAATTACCCGCTGCAAAATGCCTTAGGCTTGTACAATGGCGGATTGAGGTTTAGAGTTGCGGGGGGAGGGGGGGAGGGGAGAGGTTAAGAGGGCCAAGTCAATGAATAGGGGGCGACCGGGGTTGGGTGTGGTATTTTAAACACCAGAAATTATTTTCATGACTAAAACACTCTATAAGTGCTTTTATGTGACTTTTATTATAGATATTACATACATAAAAGACACTAAACAACCTAGTTTTTTTTTGTTTCTTTTGTTTATTTTAGTAAACAATTATCTTTTATAAAACAAGAAATATTTAGTATTATTGAAATAGTTCGGTCATTTAAAAATGTATTTAACTTGACATATTGCAAAAGTTAGCATTTAGAAAAAAATTCACATTTCTTTTTGGCATGATGTTAGGTTAACTAAATTTAAAGAAAGATGGGTTTCTTTAAATTCAGTTTCTACATCTAGTTCGGCAAATTTTTCACTAATAAATAATTTGACTGCTATATGTAGAACTTTAAAAGCTTCATCGTTTCTCATATCTACAAACTTATTTTTTAAAACACCAATCAACTGTTTTGCAAATAAAATTTATGTTTTATAGAAATACTAAATCCGCCACTGGGCTTGTAACATATTTGCAAGGAAAACAGCTGACGCATTGTTGTATGAATCATTAGTAGGGCAATGTGAGTGTAACACAACACAAAGGTTCCTTAGGCAGTATATAGTAAATAGTTTACCGCATATAGTAAATGTATATATATTTATTTTGATTTTATCAACTTTATTTATGTTTATATATTTATAATTTTTTTTAATTTTTTCTTTAATAGTTTCACTGGAAATGAAAGAGCTTATCTCTTTAGAGTCTGTATTTAACGTTTGTCTCATGATGGAGTCAAAGTTATATTAAATACTTGTGATGGCCCATTTTAGTATGCTATTAAAATTTGGAATTTCTTTAAAAGTAACAAATATGATACATTCATTTCCACATCCACTCATAGCAAATACTTTTTTTTTTTTTTTTTTTTTGCATGTCATATGCTAAAGCTGATGAGAAACACATTAGTAGAAAAAGATATTTTGTTTGATTCTGAGAAGAAACAAATATGCTGGAAATACATTAATTATTTACAAAAGCTTAGAGATGGAGAAGGTCTGAAACTTGGTAATAAACTTTAATCTCAACATATAGATTAGAGGCAACAGAAAAATAATTTAACCTTGCATCTCAAGTATTTAGTTCCAGTGTTGCTGATGCTATCAAATAATGTTGGACTAAACTTAATCTTTTCTATCCTTTTCATTTATTTATTAACTTTTACATAAATAAATCCACTTCAAATAATTGTATTTTATTACAAGCATTAATAAATATACCTGCATTTTTTTTGGTTTCTCTGTTGTTTTATTGTATAGTATTTTACCAGATTTATTATTAATTTACCATTATTTATCAGCATCCAACTGATAAATGTAAGTTGAATCAATAACTTGTAATTTTTAATAACTTGTAATTTTTATTCCTTTACGATTTATATAAATCTAAATAAGTTTTTTGAAAACCATATCTTTACTCTGGTTAAGTTACTTGCTAACTGCAAAAAAAGATTGCATCAACTTGGAAAATTAAAATCTACAAAAGTTTCACAAGTCTTATTCAAAAAATCAATCAAAGTAACAAATAACGTAGAATTTATATTTTATAGTTCTGAAGATTATCTTTGTATGATGTTTTTTAAAAATCTTTTTGTATTATCGTCATTCGAGAGTTTCTATTTTTCTAGAATAAAAATATATTATGAAAATGATTTTCGGTTGTGTATGTATGTATCTATTTAGACAAAATGAAAAATGAAAAAACTTCCAGGGAACCCACTGTTCTACATTGTAAGAAAGGTGTATGTTCTTTTTGACTTTTTTTCATTTATATCATATGCATCCTACAATCTTTCATGTAAAATAGCAGAGAAACAACTTAGTGACTACTTAAAAACGTAGTGTTTATTAAAGTTAGAGCTTTTTCAAACTTTCTATAAGTGTAATAAAAGTGTGTGAAGTAACAGAACTAAAAATTGTTAGTATGTAATCATCAATTTCAACAAAGTATTGTAAAGTTGTCTATATTACTTTTTCAGTGGTAGAAGAAATCAACATGATATTTTTTTATTATGTTTTAAACTTGTGAAGTTACTCAACTACTATTAAAAAGCATCATTTTGTAACAATAAAGTTTATTGTTATTAACAATAAACTTTATTTTTATTAACAATAAAGTTGATTGTTATAAAATGAAGCTTATTTTGTAATAGTAGTTAAGTTACTTTACAAGTATAAAACATAATAAAAAAATATTGAATCGAATATTTTTGTAAATTTTTTTCATAGTTTTAAAATCCTGAGGATATGTTGATTTTTTCCACCACTGAAAAAGTCATATAGTTAACTTTACAATACTTTATTGAATTGATTAAGTTTTTAAACTATATTATACAAGTTGGCAACTTGCACCCAAGGGCATATCCAGACCATGTCGTGAGGAAAGCGATTTAAAATTTTTTTTCGATTTGGGGGATGCAAACGATCTAGTAAGGTGGGGGCGATTTTCAGACAAGGCTGGCGCGATAGGGGGGTGTGGGGGTGTAATATATATATATATATATATATATATATATATATATATATATATATTATATATATATATATATATATATATACGAGGGGGGGGGGGGGGTTATAAGTTTCTCTTATTTGAAATGAAAGTTCTTGATATATAACGGCTAAATGTTTTTAATATTCTTTGTTAATATTCTTGAAATATATCTGCTAAATTTTTTTAATATTCTTTGTTTTTTGTACAAATGTAAAACTAGCTCCAAACCAGTTTCTTTCAATAACTTATATACCTTAAAAAACGATAAAAATAAATACAACTTAAGAAATAATAATTTAATTCGTCAACCATTCTTTCAAACTAATTTTGGAAAATCAAGCATTTCATTTCGTAGGGTTTCTCTTTGGAATAAAATAATATTAAAACATTTTGATTTTTCTTTGGAATGGAGTTACCTCTCATTCAGAAAAAAAGCTTGAAAAAATCATTTTATCTGTTAATGATATATTTTTGTATTTTTAAACATTGAATAATTTATTTACTTTTTTTATTTTTTATGAAGTGATGCAACTGAATATGTATATAAATGCACTTAATTTTTTTTTGTGCTTTATACACTTGACCATGTATGTATGCATTTGAATTTTATGAGATTTTTAAATTTACGAGCGATTCTCGATGAAGACTTTGATGGTCTTTTGCTTTCTTTTTAATCTTCACGATTTAATTTATTTGTATAACGACTTTTATAGTTTATATAAAGTTTAAGTTTCAAGTTCTTCATCAGCGGTTCTCTGTGACAAGACCTGATGGTCATCTTTGAGTATACGCGTTCTTTATTTTTTCATTATTATTTTTTTTATTTATTTTTACGATATCTTCACAAGTAATTTTTCTCTTGTTTATTTCTATTTGTATCTTAAACATTGTAATAGAGAACAAATAAAAAATAAAAAAAATTAAAAGTTAAAAATATTGTTAAGATTTTTCAAGAAATTAAATAATAAATATTTTAATTCAATTCGAATCGTTTTGAAAAAAATTATTGAAAAAAAATGTTTTTTTGTTGTTTGTTTTCTTTAATAAAAACTAACTGCTTCAATAAATTTGGTGCAAGCTGTAGGGTAAAAATTTCTCAAAAAACACAAAAAAACACAAATCTACACCCTATATCACCAAAATTTTTGAAAATGTTAGGAAAGATTGTAATTTTTTTTCATAAAATTCCTTACCGTTTATAATTTACAGCAATTTGAAGTTTCCTTGATTCTGACTAAAAACTGAAGTGGGAAAAGTGCCGAAAATCATTCCGTTTACTTTCACCTTAATATGGTGCTTGTAGTGATGCCACAATTCTGAAACTTTGTACCAAAAGAGTTTAAAACCTGTTAAATCCGAAAAATATAGTTTTTTATATGTCAAAACAAGGGAATGTAGCTTATTTTAAGATCCATAAAAAACACTTTATAACGCCAAGAAAAAAGGGCATTGACAATTATAGCTATAAAAAAAATCTGACTGATATAAAAAAATTTAATTTCGATTTTCTTAAAAATAAGATCAACACCTACTTTTCGAACCAATTTTGTTTTGGCCTTATATTTACTTGAGGAATTATTGATGTTTGATATAGACACAAAATTTTTTAATATTTTTCAAATTAGACACTTAATATAACCCTACCTTTTACCAATCAATCAAATTAGAAACTAAAAATTTAGTGACTTTATTATCTTTTTCATTTTCATATGATATTTACAACAAAATTTAAACGTATATAAATTTTTTTTTTTAAAATACTAAACTTTAGTGATTTTATATATGCTTTACATTTACATTATTTACAAGTTGGTTCACAAAACATAATATTTAAAAAAAGAATGGATAAGACATAATAGACTCAAAAATATAAAAATCTCTTCTTCCTTAGGAAAATAATTGTTTTTAGTCCTCTTTGGCTAAACAGTAGCAAAGTCCTGTTTTTGTTATCGGTACCTCAACTTTACAAATAACGTGGACATCAGGAATCCAGCATTGGCTTTCCTTTGGTGGCCATTTAAACGACCGTGCAGGACCATTAGGACACATAAATTTTACAAGCATATCTTTTTCTTCTAAATTAATATCTTCAATGACTCCTATCCACCAATTTTGTTTATAGGAAACACAGGCATAATCACCTGGTACTAGGTTTACAGTTGTTATCTGGATATTTCCAAAGTCATGAATTAAAGCAAATTCTTCATCAACACTGCATAGCTTAGTGCCTACTTAAACAAAATAGTAACATATGCAATTATTCCATTTTACTTATCAAACATGTTTTATTAAATGCATAGATAGCAAATGCAGAAGAAATAAAATACAAATATTTTTGATAATGGTTCTGCAAAAATCTAATATCTATTTGAGTTTATCAATAAAAGTTATGCGTGTATTTTAAAATATGGTAAAAGGTATAATTAAAAAATAATAATTTACCTTTTGATGGCCAAGTGGTACAAACTGATGGTAACTACGTGTTCCAGGTATTGTATTATCAGTATCCAATCGATCTTTAAGAGCGGTTCTCACCAAAGTTAAATCTTCTGATGAAATATATATGAAATTTATGCCTTCAATGTTTTCATTGCAATATTTATACATTGTTTGTGGAGATAAAATATGATTACCCATATCTCTTTGCAAACTTGCTAGTGTTGCCAGACGTTTGACTGTACCACCTATCCCATCACAAGGTTGCTTACTGTGACTAGTTGCAAAAAATTTCCATTTAGCAGTAAAACCAAAATCTTCACAATGGAAACAAAGATTTAACATATTATTGCAATTCTTATATTGACCTGCACACCCATCTCAAAAGTATTCAATATTTTTTATTTGAGGCAAATTTGTTTTTATATCATTGCAAACAACCTCAATAATTTTATAAACCGTGTTCACATCATGGATCATATCATCCGAAATAATACAATAGGATTTGTGATTGAGAATGCCTTTTTTTTTTTAAATAAATAATCACTGGATGAAGTGTACATTGTAAATTTGTCCAATGTCAAGATTGTCCAAATTGTCCAGCTTTGCACTTTATCCTGAACTACAAATTTATAGTTTTCTGAAAAATAACCCAGAAATAATGCTGTTACCTCATTCGTATCTTCTTTTCTTGATCTCAGGTATAATGCTTGACTCTTTGCTAAATACGAATGTGGTGCAAGTTTTTCCAGTTTTCTACATACCATAGGCGCCCGCAGAAAATTTTCTAAGGGGGGGGGCAAAACACTGTTATCTATTATGTAAAAACCAAGATATGTAAGATATAAAATAAAGAGAAGAAAAAAATTATATGACTGTGGAAAAAAGAAGACAATTTAAACTTGTCAGCGCCGTTTTTGTGTATAAAATATTCACATTTTTTTTTATTGATCTTTATTAAATGTAAGGAATTAAACAGACATTGGCTCCAAAAAAGATGAAGATACGTCATTGTAATCTTTGCACAGAGCCTCCATATAAAGTTTTTTTCAATTGATACTATATAAATATACAAAATATAGTAGCAATAAAAGATTTTTATTATAAGTAATAGAGCATTGATAAGCATATCAAATAAAAGCAAAAAATTTATAATTTAGCTGTAGTTTACTGAGCGTTTTGTTATGGTATTCAGACGTGAAGGTAGTACATAAAAAAAGCTTACAACATTTATTTAAAGTCAAATTTATTCTTTAAACAGGAACTGGAGTCGTCTGTTATCAATACCAAACATACCTGTAATTTTATCTATAAAGTCTTTTTTGTTACAGTTTATTTTGTCTCTGTGTGCGCCTAAAATGCACAAACCAGATAGACGGTCATTTGACATAGTTGACCTAAGCCATGTTTTGACACGACGCAATGTGCTAAACGATCGCTCCACCGTACATGTTGTTGCTGGTAAAGTTAACAAAATAAACTAATAAAGCATACCTGATACTGGGATAAAATTGTGTGAAAGGTAGTAAATCGATAAAATCTAGGCTACTTTTGTAGTCTTGCGCATTCCGAAAATCAAACCAACTCAAGGCTTCAGTTTCAAAATTATCAATGTTGTATACTTTATTAATCGTAGAAATTTTTTCTTTAAAGTGTTGACGACTCAGTTGGCACAACTTAGACGGATGAAGAAATACTAAGTTAAATTGTGCACTATTGGCTTCACGAAATCGACTCTCCAAAGAGCCGATTAGAGAATCTAAGTATGAAATATAAATCGCTTGTCTAAAAAACTCTTCAACACTTATGGTTCCCGGATTACTTCGATACTTTTGTTTTCCGCACTTTTTCCGTCTTGGAATTATCAGCTCAATATTCATCTTCTGTGCTGTTTTCTCAAAAATATCCTTGAAATAAATATTGGACTCACCTCTGTGAAGTTTTACAACATTAAGTAATTTTTGAACTTGCAGTTGGACTTCTGGAAGATCAACTTGAACAGCTTGAAGAGCCTGAGTAACTGGTTTAAGTATGGCAGAGTACTGCGAAATGATATGGAGACAAAATATAAATGTGATGGACTTTGATGAACAATAAAGCTGATGTGCAACTTGTCGAGTACATCCATTTGCATGCATTGAAAATTCTCCCAGTTGGAAAAAAATATCTTCAAATTTACTACAAAAAATTCGAATACTTTTATACTTGCTTGTCCATCTTGTCTCACATAGAAGGGGAATATTTGGAACAGAAGATCTCCTCTTTCGACTTTCACGAAAAAACGAAATAATTGCTTTAATAGTTCTAATAGTATTTTGTATAACTGCAACATCATTTAGATCATTTACTACAAGATTGAGTCTATGTGAGGCACAGTGAACAAAGACAGCTTTAGGGTAAATCCTTTGAATTTTTGTCTGAACACCGTTTTCTTTTCCAGCCATCGTGGAGCACCCATCATAACCTTGACCCAGCAGATTATTAAAGAGAAGACCAAATGTTTTGCAACTTTGAATAATACAATCAGATATTGTGACAGCGTCCATATCTTTTAGCGGTAGAAATCCAAGAAATTCTTCACGAATGATAGCTTTCTCACTAAATGTATCAACAAACCGCACTCCTAGTGATAACTGTTCAGTTCCTGAAATATCTGCTGTTTCATCGACAATGATCGAGAATCCAACAGCATTGTTGGCAGCTTTTACAATGTCTTCTCGCAGAGCTTGTTTAGAAAAGTTGATTAAATCATTTTGTGTTCGATGTGATGTGTAACGTGCATTTGCAGCAGCTGTATCAAAGTGGTTTTTTAAAATACTGTCTCCTCCCTTAATCCTATACTCATAAAGTTGTTGGTCATTTCTTTTATTACTATTTTTCCCACGTAATGCCAAATCATTTGTTCCGCAAAATAGGATCGTAGAGATAATAGGATACATCTTTTTGTTTTCTTCAATAACTCGTTTTACTGAATTATCTATCTGGCAAATATTTTTATTTGGATCTCGTATTGTTAATGCAAAGTGTTCAGCATCTTGTTGAGCTCCACGATGCCATGCTGAGCTGATATGGTTTTTGGCACATTTATTAAAATGTTTATACTTTGTGAAAGGATAAGTAATGAAGGCACCTTGAAATCCTCTTTGAACTGGTTGTAGAAATAAAACACAAAATACGTAAAAAGCACCTTTTAATTTAGGTGAATATGATAACCATGGAGTATACTGAGATAGCCAAGAATTCCTGAAACAACGTTTTCCGATTACAGAAATGTCCCCTTTAAAATCGTAGGACGAATGAGGCTTGTAGGGATCAGTTAGCAAGCGATACTTAAAATCAATAGGTATTTTTGCAGAACATTTTACATAAAGTCCAATGTCATATTCTAATCTAGAACCTCCACTTTCAAGTTTTTCAGTTTCTGGTTTGGGTGTTGTCGATAATGATAAACAAGCAACATTATCCGTTTTCGGTTTTTTGCAGTTATTAGTTGAAGTTGTTTCTTTATCAGGTGTCGACTGCTGTCTGACAGGTTTTAAAAATTTCCGAATATCCATGGCACCTAAAAGTAAAAAAAAAGAAGGATTTACAATAAATTTTCATTACATTAAAAGCATACTTTTTCATGTGAAGATAAAAAGTTCTGAAAAAGAAACCAGAAATTAAAGAGCGCATTTCTAAAAGGGATTCCATTTTTTCTAAAATTGAGTTTTTTAACATTCGGATTTTTTATTGAAAAAGGTACAAACCTAACTATGTTAGTATGAATAAAAACATTTTTCATCATTTTTATTTACGATTACAAAACTATTGGTGTTCAAAAAATACTTCGGCTGATAACTTTTTATTTTTATTTTTTTCAAAACAATAAAAATGTTACTTAGCTCCTTTTAGAAAAACACTCTTCAATTCTAAAAATTAAAAAGTGAAAAAAATATTTACTTACTTTAATACAGTAATTTTTAAAGAATTCTTTACCGTTTTGAAAAGAAAACTCACTATTAAAGTAAACAACTAAAGTGCGAACAACGTGTACAGTTTTGGAAAGGTCAAATTGTCTGTCCAAATATCGATCCCACAACGACTTGCGTTTTAAAAAAATCTATTGTTTCTGTGCAATGTTTGTCCGATATCAATTCCACAATCCCTTGTGCTTCTAAAAAAATCGACTTTTAGAATACAAAATTTACGCTTCTATTTCACGTTGTTAATAGTTTGAAAAAACGTTGTTAACAGTTTGAAAAAAACTCTCTCACGCTGAGTACCATCAAAGTTTTTTTTTAAATAACTTTTTTGCTTAAGATTTTACATAACACAAATTTAGTTTTTAAAAAATTATTACTCATATAATTGTAAATTTCAAGTTATTACCACCTAACGCGTTATCTTTTGGGTAAGATAAGCCACTAGAAAAATAAATGTTTAAAATTTTGAAGTTTCTGTATCAAAAATTTATGTATTAAAATTATTATTATCTTCACAATATTTTTACTTTAACTATACTGAAACAGTTTTGAAGTGTTGAGCAATTTTTTTTTTTCTCTAAATAAAACTGAGACTATATTTTACTGAAACCGTATAAGCAAGTAATTAATTACTTTTATTAATTATAAGTAATTAATTACTTGAGCAATGCAATAGCAATAAATGTGAAATTATTTGTAAGAAAAACATGTTAAGATTGAAATTTTTTTTTCAATTTTAACATGTTTCGTAATTTACACACAACATTTTCAAAAGATAAAATTACAATTAAAATTCTGCAATATAAAATTACAGATCTCTGTAATGTCTTCAAATTTTGATTTTATATTCCAGAGTTTTAATTGTAATTTTATCTTTTGAAAATGTAGAGTGTAAACTACGAAACATGCTAAGATTGAAAAATATCGTGTTTTTCATATTATTAAGCAATTAATTATTTCTGAAAAAACTTAATTAGGTTTTTTCCGAAACTGTAACGAAGTATCACTAAAAGATATTTTTTACAGAAAAATTTAGTAACAAACTTTATGGCATGAAGAACGTTACAAACAAGAAATTTTTTTTCTATATTTAGAAAATAGAGAGAGGGGGAAGGAGGGGGGGAGGGGAAGATGGCAAGTGCCCCCTCTTGCCCCCCCCTTGCGGGCGCCCATGCTACATACTAGTTCAATGTATTCAAACACTGGCTCTTTATTATGTGCCAAGTTTGACCTATCTGTTGTTGTCCATTGATCAAGTTCAATCTCATCATCATCTTCAATTTCTCCAAGTATATCATAAAGTTTTTCAATCAATGCATTCATAGTTGCTGGGCATTTTTCACATTTCCTCATCATACAGTCTTTATTAGTTATATCACAGTCAATATAAGGTAACAATTCTTTGTATGTCACACCAAGAGGATGTAAAAGCAGTTTCAAATTCTGATGAATAGCACAGGCGCATACAGAATGTGTTCCTGAGGCACCAACAGTAATACACCATTTAGGTCGCAAGGTGCAAAACCTTGAAAATCCTATTTTTATTTCTGGGTTTTTGGTTTTAAAGGCAACAAAAAATTCCTTTAAATTACATAAGAGCAAACGTTTTTGCATGTGGACATTTTTCTTTATGCTTACATAGTCCTTTTTACCAGGGATTATACGGCTTTGTTCATCGTTTTCGTAAAAGGTCTTGACCAGTTGAACTGTTACATCAGGAAGAGCTTTTCCTAATTTAGGATTAGGCATGGTTAAAATACCTTTTTCTAATGTTAACTTACGTGCAGTTCGAGCTACATAGTTTGTTACATGCAATGTTTCAGATACCTTTTTTATTGACCAGTCTGTTGGTGCAAGTGTCGCAAGTTGTACTTTTTTTGATGTTGATGTAGACTCTGCAATTTTGTTAGTTAACAATACCATCATGTTATCAAACAAGTTTGCTTTTTTCATATACTCATTATTAAAACGTGACTGTTCTTCAAAACTTTCTTCTGATATATTAAAAGAAATGGCTACCTTTTTTTTAATGGAGGTTGTTAATGCTGTCAATTTTCGTTTACCTTCTCTGATTTTACCTGAATTGTGCAATCCTTTGACCTTAATTGGAGATACTCCGGCAGATGCAAAGTGTGTATCTACACTTTCTTTTTTAATTTGAATGGATCTTTCATTAACAATATCAAAATCTTCATCATTTTTATTTTCACTTATACTTTTTGATAAACATGTCATAACTTTACTTCGACAGGCCGGACACAGTTTTTTTCTAGGTATTAGATTTAAACCTATGGTTTCTGCTTCTAACACAGTATGCATTGTAATCACACGTAGAGATGCTTAAAAAGAAATTAATTACATTGTTTAAATAACATTAATTTTATATATTATGTAATTATATTACTATACAATTTGTTATATTAATAATTATGAAACATTGAACAAATCTTATTACCAAAAAAACTTATATAAATATATTAATAATGATATTACCTAATGAAATATAAATATATAAATGGGTTACAGCATTTTTTCTGATTACCCTCATATCTTACAACTAACATATTATGATGGTGTGTGCATATATTAGTAATTTGTTCTTGTTTCAGATTTCTTTGTTTTTCAAGTAGCTTACAATCATTGCTGTCAATATCTTCAATCAGATTTCTTTTTTGAGTATATGATTGTTTATAACAAGCTCCATAATTATTTACAAAGCAGCAATTAGTTTTGTTATCCATATAAAAATATAATGAGGAATCTCTGTCTAAACACTAAATACAAGAAATCTTAAATAATCTTTATGTCCCTAACAAGAAAAGTACACTTGAAAACAAACAATATCATATCAATATGTATTTATAAAGAACATATTGCTTGAACGAGTAGCTATTAGTTTAATAGACATATTTTAAATGCCTAACTATCTACTAATTATTGTAAATTCTCCATTAACTACTTACAAAAAGTTGTGTAAAAGTAAAAGATAACTAAATATAATTTTATTTAGTTATGTAACTTGACATGATTATGTTAATTAGACATTATTATATCATTTTATTACTTTTTTATTGATGATAATAAAACAATCAACAACAAAAGTTACATAATATTGTTAAATTTAATGACATGATATTATGTATTGAAAATGACATTATTATTATGTAATCATTACAAAAATTTACAAAGTTATTACAAAAGATAGTTGAACATTTTATAAATTTGTTTCTTTTTACTTATTCATTACAGTAATAAAAGTAAAAAGAAACAAATTTATAAAATGTTCAACTATGTTTTGTAATAACTTTGTAAATTTTTTACAAAGTTATTACAAAACAAAAATAATTGTATTTGTATTCAAAATATATTTGCAAATTTTTTTTTTTTTTTTGCAAAATATCTTTAGAAAAATTGAAAAACTAAAACATCAACAACTCCTTGATAAAACATAAGGCCAAATAAAAATTGGTTCGCAAAGTAGATATATGTTTAATATTTAAAATAATGAAAACCAAAACTTTTTTTCATCAGTCAGATTTTTTCCAGTACTATACTATAGTTCTAGAAAAAATCTAACTGGGTAAAAATTTCTCAAAAAACAAGGGGTTGTACCCTGCATCACCAAATTCGTTGAAATTTGGCACTAATATTTAAAGATATAAGTTAGGAAAGACTGCAAAATTTTTTCAAAAAATTCTTAACCCTTTAAGATTTACAGCAACTTGAAGTTAGTTATTTTTTGACTGAAAAAAGAGGGGGGATAATGCCGGAAATATGTCAATTTACCATTACCTTTTTAACAAACTTGTAGTAATTTTGCAAAGCTAAAACTTGGTACCAAAGGAGTTTAAAACCTGCTGAATCTGAAAATCATAAACTTATATCTCTCAAAACAATAAAATATAGTTTATTTTTAGATCCACAAAACGCACTTGTTAATGACAATAATAAAGGCCATTGACAACTATAGTCTATAGTTGTCAATGGCCTTTATTATTGTTATTTACTAATAAGGGCGTCGATAGTAGCTGAAACGAGTTTATGGTAATGTTAGTTGATGAGCTATTAGAGGAGGGGTGACATCTATATGCGTAAGGGTATCTGAAGGCCTTCTGAGCTTACATTTAGACCCGCACGACCGCGTAGCGAAAACGGAAGACCTTCAGATTTTTTTAAAGACCCGCACGACCGCAAAGAAGCAATGAAAAAATTGAGGCGTACGGTAGTTCTCCGCATATTTATTGAACAAAATATAGTGAAACATTTAATAAGAAGCTGGATTTAATAAGAAGCTAAAAATACTGAAAAATATATATTAGATTTTAAATAATTTTATAAAGGAAAAAAAAATAAAAAAAGTTTTAAAAAAGGTTTTATTCTTAATAACCTTTTTGTTAACATGCTATAATTAAAATCGGATTTGCCCGTATACATTCAAGTTGATAACAGTCAGTTTAAAGTTATAAAGTTTTTTAAAGTTAAAAAAAAATTAAAAGCTTTTTATAGTGTTAACATTTATATTATATTGTTAACAATAAGTTTAAAGCTATAAGACTGTAAGTTTTATAGTGTTTTTATTTTGGAAAGCTTTTGCTCTAGAAGATATTGTTAGAAGAATACTAAATATTCAGTAATAGCCTTTAAAACTTCAAATTTGTGTAACAGACGCAACGATAGGTTAGACGCAACATTATGTCAAACTAATGGTTGGCAACCTATTTTGAGTAGAGGGCCATTTTTCAAAGCAAGGTTCGGCAAAAAATGTTAAATCTAGTGTTTTTATATTAGGGGGCATCCATAAAGTACGTACTCAGTAAAATCACTGATTTAAAACCCTCTCCCCCTTTTACAAACCTGTACGCTTTCAAAGACCCCCTCTCCGCGTACGTACGCATTGTTTTTTTTCAAAATTAACTCGTTTTTTTTTTCTAAAGCTAAAAAAAAACACTGGTCAGAAAAAAAAACACTATTTTGATTTGTTACACTCGTGAAGTTCAATGTTTTAAAAAAAATAAAATCATGTTTAGGAGAGATAGTCAAACCGCGTACGTAGTCACTGTCTTTAATACGCCTCCCCCTTCTCCTTGTTTGCGCTTTTACGCTTTTGGCAAACCCCCTCCCCATCCCTGCGTACGTACTTTATGGATGGCCCCTTATATAGAACACATTTAGAGGGTGGGAGCAGATTATTTTTTTTTTAAATTGTTTTTTGGAACACCCTATTATATATATATATATATATATATATATATATATATATATATATATATATATATATATATATATATATATATATATATATATATATATATATATATACATATATATATATATATATATATATATATATATATATATATATATATATATATATATATATATATATATATATATATATATATATATATATATATATATATATATATATATATATATATATATATATATATATATATATATTGACCTATATTTATATATATAAATATATATATAAATATATATATATATATATATATATATATATATATATATATATATAATATATATATAATATTTATAAAAATATATATATATATATATATATATATATATATATAAATATAGATCAGTACAGTGGGGAACTGCGTTTTTCCACTTAACATTTTTAAAAAAAAAACAATTTTTCTTTGATACATAGTTATGAAATAAATATATACACAAAACAATGCAAAATTATAAATGGAGTACCAAAAACAGTTTTAAAATAAACCAAAAGGAAACTTCAAAAGTTAATTCTAATAAAAGTTTAATCAGCAGCAAGCCATTCAGTTATTTCATAGCAATCAATTTTCATAAAATACTTTTTTTGATTGTCCTTTATCTCTTCGTTTTCGACATTTCGATATGGTAGCATATAGCTACCGGTTAAGACTCCATATTCTGCTAAAGTAGAATGTATTAAAACTAAGCCTTTTTTATCAACAGGAACTTCACAACTTTCTGTTGGTCTCCATTTGTTGTATGTTTTTCGAAAAATACTCATGACAACCCATGTTTTCAGTTCTGCTTGAAAAAGACTCCCTATTTTTACATTAAATTTTTCCATGCTAGACTTATTTTTTAAATTTGGTCTATACCAACGTTCTAATAATGATTTAGATTTTTGGTGATTATTAAACGATACATGAGCTTGCTCAGAAATAGAAGCCAACCCTTCTTCACAAATGTCTTTAAGGGATATTTGAGTGAACATTTTCTGAAAAGAAATGATGCTTTGGTTAATCTCAACCAACACCTCATCGACATTGTTTCTATGGTTCATTATGAGTTACTTCAATTCTCTGGTTCATTATTAATTACTTCAATTTCTAAAATTGCTTCTTGTAAACTATTATTAATTATTTCTATCAATTTTTCTTGAACATCAGTGTCATAGCCATTATCAGCATTTAAAGCCTTATCCAAGTTGGGATTAACGTTTACTTTTATCAGACTATTTTTATTTTCTATAAAGGAAGTATAGAAGCTCTTTAAATCTAAAAGAGAATTTTTAAGTCAAAGTTTTTTTAATTCCACATGTATTAAGCAAAACACTCATTTGATTTGAAAACTCATTGATTATTGGAAAAACTATTTTGGATAGTTTACTAGCAAATAATTGATGATAAAATTGGTCAAATAAAACCTTTTCTTGATTTGGTGATAAATTCAATGTAGGGATAACTTCTTTTTTCTTTGTTTTTTGTTTTTCTAGAATTGCAGTTACAGATGCAACAAAGCCAGTTAAAGTACTGGCATAACCTTTTGACGAATTCCCCCCAGTGTTTAATGCAGATCTAAAAGCAGATGAAAAAAATTGATTTATTCTATCATCATACTGAATAAAACCACGAATTGTGAATTCTCTTTCAAATTGTCTAGTACAACCAAAATAATGCTCACAAGGTTCTTCAATAC